AAAAAGCAGCTGCCAACACACGATCCAGGAAAAATTTTGATATTTTAATGAGATGTGACGAAAAATTAGTGAATAAGGCACGTTATTCAACTATGGTATCTTGGTTTACGAACTGTCAGAATATATCCACGAACGGTGTAAGTAATCAATGAGCTATATTTGCTGGAGCTTTTAGCAGAGCTTCGTTTTTTCTACGTAATAAATGTCGTACCTCTAACCACATATACCTCTATGAAACATTTTTCTGAAGTCTTTCAAACAACGAATATACTCTCGAAAACATACATGCGTCAGGTATAGGCCACATGTACGTGCTTCCTCGTGTATTTACATAATTTATAACTTGTACACAGATGTTCGAGTTTGCCTTGCGTCATAAGATGAGGTGTTAAAGCTCAAGTTACATATTACACCAATGATCGCTTAAGTATTTATTTCAATCTGATGGATGAAAGAAAATTGTTGAGAATCTTGATTTTCGAGATCTTGCTGAATAAATAGTGCTTGTAAACAAAAGAGTGCATGTAATATGTATAAGCTGGTACTGATGAGAAAAGTCCTTTAATTCCAAGGTGTTGATCATAAAAAATGAAATCTGTCAGAGATACGTTAATGTACTTTTCACGCTGACACGGTTTTACTTTTCCAATAAAAATACAGCCCAACGAAATTTGGCATACTCAATGACGATCGATCCGCGCAAACGAGCCTATCCATCGCGTGTACAACAGTGAACGTATACAAGCCTACGATAGACGTGACGCAGAATCAGACGCGAGAGGAGCCTCGCAGTGGAGTGCACGTGTATAGGTGCATGAAGCATCAGCAAGACGGTGTACAGCGTACAATGGGTGTACAAGCTAGTTACATGCACACGTTCGTCCGACCAGCATAATGGAGCGCGTCCCTCGAGGGCCCATCCGAATAACGAATGCGCCCAGCGCGGCCTTTTGCGATCGGCCGATTTATTTATTTACTTAGTTACTTTGGCCACTGGCCGGCTTCCGCAGTCTTTTTCACTACGTGTCCCGTAGCACTAATGACTTCCAACGTGGCTCTCCCTCGCTTGGTCCTTCACGTCATGCTTTTTTCATTGAAAATTACGGCTGATCGTGTCTAATGGAATTATGCGTCAAGTCAATGCAGGATTCATCGAGTCCAAGTTACGCTAGGGGTACAATTCAACGGTTCAATTTTGGTAAAAGACATTCGTTGATTGATAAAACGTGGCAACTATTTTCTTCGATAATTTCAATCAAAGAGTGCTTTGACAAAATTCCTCGATTTTGTAGAGAGGGATATAAAACACTTGTAGTTGATATTCATAGGTAACAAAGTGACACAAACCGCGTGGATGAGTAGAAACCCCAAAATAGAAGGAAAAAAAAAAAAAAACACTGTCGACCGACAGAGTTGGCAAAAGGGAGAGCGAGACGTAACAAGAGCACACACTTGACGTGCGGACACATGAAGTGTATGTGGACGGAAAGAGAAAAAAGAGACGAGGAACCAGGTCAAAGCACGAAAAGGGCGAGAGTCGAAATTAAAAACCTCGCGGGTGGTGGTAGGTGTGGAAGCCGAGCGAAGATGAAAAAAAAAGAAAAAAATGTATGAAAGGAGAAGAAAATTAGGGAAGGAAGGTCAACCGCGTCGTACGACGCAGCAATCGCACCCCACCGACCCTGCACGTGCCAGACTGCACTTCCGAATGAACGGAACGACCGAGAGGACGCTTTTGTGTATTGTACCGAGACAAAAAAGTGTGCTAGTCTGGAAGAATGGCTCGTTTTGGAACAGCCCTCACGCGTTGGCGAGCACTTTTTTTTTGTCACTTTCTCAAGAATTGGGTTACGTCGTGTAAAAAAAAAAAAAAAAAAAAAATACCCCAGCGGGTTAATGAGATTAGCCGTTCGGCTCGAATTGAGTTTTCTCCACGGGGTGCAGCTTTTAAGTATTACATGCGAAGCGAGTGTGAGCGGGATTTATTGGGTGATAAAATCTGTCAGATGGCTCGTAAAATGGAGTAACTTTTTCCCCCTTACTCCGGGCTCGTTACTCGCGCTGTAATTATACTCGTTGCGCCGATCTGTCGATCGCTCGATACCGCCTCGGTGCTTTCGTAGTATCCTGGAAAAGGAAAGTTTCGCTTCTTGCGGGACCTGCGGAGAGTAAAATAGAGTGATTCCTTTCGCTAATTGGGGACAAGCAAAGTTCATGCAAACAAAGAGTGCTATTGTTGAGTGAAGGAGTTACAAAAAGAGAGATGGCGCATGTACATTGTTTGTGAAGTCACCGTCGTTGCCAGAAAAAGTTATAATTGCATTCGAGAATTATACTTTTCAGTTTTTATTTTTATTACAGAGAGAAACAACATACAAATTTGTAAGCTGTAAAGCATTAAAAAAGCTCTTGGATAATATTTCCTCGAATATGAGAAATTTCGTATCGATTTGCGTTTTCTTGGTGAGTGCCAAAAAATGGAGTATAGACATCCATTGTTCTCGCATGAGGATGTTGTTAAATAAATTTCTGGTAAACACAGTGTAGGTAGTATATGATGAAATACGAATAAACGCCCTGGCTGGCAAAAAAATACCGCAATAGCAAAATAAAAATTATGTTTTTCGCAAAGCGCAAATTTAAAGCTCTTCCGCAACGGCAGGATGCGACAACTGCGTTATACAAAGAGAATGGCTCTTCATAAAAGTAAAATGCAATAAGTGCGAAGCAGAAACTTCTGGATGGCCAAGGGCTTTTCATGAAATGCGCGATATAAATTGTTTCCATCGCTCGTAAAGTCTAATCACCGAAGAAATCGTCGAAAGAGAAGGAGCAGTGTGGGAACGTCGCAGACGATACGAATTCCGGCGCGGAGTGTGCGCCCTCGTGTATACGTCTCATGAAAAATCGATTACTCTTGGATAAGTAAAGTACCGGATGAGCCGTACATCTTGCGAGTGGACTCGAGAGTGAATTGGCTATAAACCTTCCGATACGCGGATAACACATTTGTCAAAGTTTTTTAATCAGTTGGATTATTTTTGGAGAGGATTTGCATAACATTACCGTAATTCATGAGGTGACTCAAGTTTTAATCTAATCGCTCTGTTAGTGTTTTCTGCATAAGCACAGGCTGACGTTTTGCGTACATTTTCAATTCGCCTTCAAAATTATGACTTTTTTTTTTTAACAATTAATCGATTTTTTAAAATTTGTTTTTTTTTAGCTTCTATTATGAATCTCCAGATAATTTTCAATCACTATATTCAATTACTTTAAAAAAATCATTGGTAGAAGTAGTTATTCCTAGCTGTGTGCAACGACTGAGGTCTTACCAAACTTTGACTGTATCTCCTTAAAGTTGTTTGAAGTATACTTTTTGTATAAAAATATGAGGATTCCTAACGATTTCTACCAATAACACGGTATTAACGTACATATGTACGATGTTGTTTACGAAGTACAGCTATCTCATGTATGTTTTTATCATTTATCATCACGTTTTGTTATCTTTGTTGTTTGTGACGTTTTTTAAATAAACCGTAAGAATTTCGAATGTTTTTATATCAAATCAATGTTTTGTTTCGTTCGTAAGTTTCACAACTTTTCATCTGTACAATGTAAAAAAGTCAGATGTCTTGACAAGTTTTCCTTCATAATTTTCCAAATGACGAAAATTTATAACTTTCTCTTGAAAAACTGATTACTTCCGTACATATTTTATTTTATTTTTTTCTTGCTAATTCGAGCAAAAAGTACCCAATCCACTTAGGAGAAACACCCCATTTCAATATTGCAGTGAGATTTAGACGTGGTGTTTCCCTCTGTTTATGTGCGAGATGAGTGACTCGATAAATCAAGTAAGACGTGTACGTACCATTTATGTTCCTGTCCATCCAACAAGATGAGAAAGAGAAGGAGGGATGAGCGCTCACGAGTAGCCGAGGGGACGAGCGATTCAGCAAGTAAATAAGAGCCACTTGGCAGTGGAAGAGCTACTTGACAACATCATACGTTTTTACATGCAAGTTTAGTTGACAGTCATTACCTTTAAAAGGATTAAAAAACGCCTCTCAAAGTCGGCACCTAAAAAAATGCATAGTCAATAGATTCAACAGTAACCCTTTATGATTAAACATGATAATTATGTTTAAACTTTTTAAAATGATTCGAATAAAGCAACAACAATAAAAAAACAACAGTAATGATGATAAAAACCCAAGTAATCCTCCGAAAGATTGGTAAAAGCCATAGGAAATCTCGGCCGGTATCCGAGACCCTTGGGAGCGCAAAACCTCGCCTAATCTTACGCTCAACTTTCCCACGTATCCTGTACAATCATTTTCCGAATGCCCCTCGAAAAGGTATAAATCATCCCCCGAGAGTCCTACACCCCTCGGCAAACTTTGTAGATACAAGCCCACACACGCGTACGTACGAAACTCGGTTAACGACTCGGCCGCACCAGCCGTCCTCCTCGTCTCACCCGAAATATAAAACAGTCCATTACCCGCGCGGAACGAAGATTAATTTAAAGTCCCGGGTCGTGAGAGGGGCGCGCGGTTCATCGAAGAAACCTTATTGGTAATCCACCGGGCCTCTCTGTTCCCGCGAACGGTTGACATTGGCTTTGTAAGGGGTGGGTGCAATGGCTATCCGGATTCCCGCTCTAGGGCCAAGTATCGCCGACCGTCATTTTTTTCTTTCGCTCTCTCGTGGTACATCGAGGGCATCCCTCGTGCCCTATACAGGAGATGCCAACATTTCGCGTACACGTATGAGTATATACACGAGTGCACCGGAGAAAGAGGTGCTGGCCAGGGGTTGGAGCCGATATATCGCTACTGTGTACGTGCGAGCTTCGGGCCATGGTGGGGTGGGTATCGTATGTGCCTCCCTTTTCAACACACTCACCCACATAGCCGAGGAAACGCGCGCACGCAAGCTTGCGATCCCAGCTGTGTACGACGGCAGTGGTAGCAGCAGTCGATTGCCGTAGCTCCGCACGGCCGGACCACAACGCGTCTGTATCTACTTGCCCGAGAAACACGGTGTATTTTACAACTGTACTCGCGCTCCCGCTTTTTTTTCCGCGATCGTCACTCCCTTTGTAACCATTTTCTTTTTTTTTTTGGTACTAGTTTCACCCTCTAATATTATTCTTTGGTTTCTTTATTCTCAATCGCTGGAAACTCGAACAAGGAAGTTTGTTTTTTGTTACTTTAGTAACGATCAACACCAGAAAACTTGATCTAGTGATTGTTTTCGATATTCATAGAAATAAGGTTTTTCAACCTGCACCATAGGATGCCCGTGAGATCGAGGGCATCGATCGTCACTGCGGGTGATCATCGAGAACTGCGTGTTGTCTCTGTTAATGCGGCCGAGACTGCAGCTGATTCATCGTCGCAAGTATAGATGCGTGGGTGTCTTTTTTAATTGGAAAATACGGTGCAAAGTATTGGGATTGATCGGCAATGCAAGAGCGTGTGTGCGTACGTGTTTTTTTGCTGTAATGTGCTGTATAGGTCGTAAAGCGAGCGAGTGCATGCAAGTGGCGCTAGGGTGATTTAATGCGTGCGATTGAAAAGCGTGATGCGAATGATGAGTTATTGTTTGCTTTTGTACGTACGTGTGAGTGCGCATTTTTATTCTGTTAGGGGATTTTTAAAAAAAATTTATTTTGTTCCTTTTATTTATTTTGTTTTTGTATTTTTTTTTTTTTTTTTTTAGAGGGTGA